CATACAGCTGGTTCATTTGCATCCTTTTGGAGGGTCGTTGAGGCCACTTGGAGGTTTCTCTGTGTCCTCAGGGTCACCTGAGTGGTGCAAATGGTTCCTGCAGTCTGCATTTCCTCCCTCTGGAAATCCGTTCCTACTCCCACCACATTCCAAGGGTCTTCATTTCAAATCCCAAATGGGAAGGTCCCAAAGGTGCTTCCCCCACCCCCACCCCCAAAGTGGCAGCTGGAATGACTTTGTTTTTCCTTGAAGACGTTATGAACTGAAAAAGCTTCTTGGATGAGAAGTGAAATGTCTTCAAAGAAAAAACAGAAAGTCCAGTTGCCTCTTTGAAAAATAAAAAAGCACCTTTTGGACAACCGGGACCTGGATCAGAGATGGGTTGCTCCAGTGGTGGGTTGCTTATCCTGTTCCAACCGGTTCGGTTGGAACGGGGCCGGTGGCATCCTCGTGCATGCACGCAGTTCATGCATGCGTCTTAGCACATGTGCGATGCTCCAGCTGCTCACGGAGAATCACGCAGGTGCTGTATGTGCCATGCGCCTGCGTGGAAGCGCAGAAGCCTTCAAAGATTGGTAAGGAGCGCGGGCGGGCGGGTGGGGCCCTTCGCCATTCCCGGAAGTTACTTACTTCCGGGTTCACCGTCCAACCGGTCCGCGCGGACCGCCATGGACTGGTTGAAACCCTCCCCTGGGTTGCTCCCAGTTCGTCCTGGATCGGGCAAACCGGTAGTAGCAGTGACAGGAGACTATGCCCACCCGTCCACCCATCACACGTGTGGGAGCAAGCATGGGAGCACACCTGAACTGGTATAAAATAATTAGCAACGCACCTCTGATCTGGATGACTGAGAATCTCTGTCAGAGTGCACTCAATGGCACTACTTGAGACAACCCAGGAGCAATAACATCAAACAGAGGTTCGTGAGAATAAATAGTGGTTTATCTCTACAAAGGAATATACATACACATACTAGGCAAAGTCAAACAATCAGCAGCTACAGCACAGACAAACCCACGGAGAGAAAAATGCCCTCACAGGGCCTCTCTTATAATACAGCCTCTTAAAGACAAAGCCATTTGTCCAGAATGCTTTTAGGGTCTCTTGCTTGGGCAGAGGGTTGAACTAGAAGACCTCCAAGGTCCCTTCCAACTGTGATATTCTGTATTCCATAGATGATAGGCCAACCACAAAGAAATCTGATTAGTAGCCACCTCAAAGGACATGCAAGAACAGGAGACCATCAAGAGGCCTATCATTCCCCTGAGCATCTTTTCATTAGAAAGGTAGTGATGGGAGCATGATTGGAATACAGCTCCCAGAACCCCAAAATACGTCTTTCTTTGGGTCCGCAAGTTCCCCGAGAACTCCAACACAACTCCGAGTTTTGTTCATTTATAAGCATTTAAGATGATTTGCCAAGGCCTTCCTCCAGCCCTCCCCATCAGGAAAACATGATCTCCTCTGCTATTTTTCACGCTCTGTTCTTCCTCTCACAGGTTGAAAATTACAGAGCTGTCTATACCCGCTACTGACATAGACTTACAGCCAACTGACATGGCGAAAATTAAAGTGACTATAAACATCACAGTTGCTGGGAAAAGGTGAGAGAGACCTTTGGGTCGTGGTCATGGATCTAGAAGGGCCATTGGGCATGTCTGGTCCAATGGAAAGACCAGGGGTGACATGATAGGAGTCTTTTGGTATTTGAGGGGCTCCTACAAAGACAAGGGGTTCAAGCCATTTTCCAAAGCACCAGAAGGTGAGAAACGACAGCTGGAAGCCAGCCAAGGGGAGAAGCAACCTAGAAATAAGGAGAAATTCCTCGACAGTGAACCAGTGGGACAGAAGTTGCCTTTGGAAGTTGTGGCTGCTCCAACACTGGAGGTTTTCAAGAAGAGACTGGCCAGTTACTTGTCTGGAATGGTCTAGGCTCTCCTTCTTGAGCAGGGGGCTGGACTAGAAGACCTCAAATGTATCTTCCAGCTCTTGTTATTCTGTAGTTCTGTAAGGGTCTCCTTCTTGAGCAGGGAGTTGGACTAGAAGACCTCTGTGACCCCTTCCAACTGGGTTATCCTATGTTCTAAAATGGAGTCAGTCTATAATGGCTTTGGGATTATTTTTTATTTATTTATTCAGCCAACTTCCTTCCTTCTGGATGGTGGAAGGAAGGGACGGACGGATGGAAGGAAGGGAGGAAAAAAGTGGATGGTGGATGGAAAGAAGGGAGGGAGGGAGGAAAGAAGGAAGATGGGTGGTGGAAGGAAAGGAGGGAGAGAGGGAGGAAGGGAGGAAAGAAGAAAGGAAGGGAGGAAGGAAGATAGATGGTGGGAGGAGAGAAGGGATGGAGGAAGAGGAAGATGGATGGTGGAAGAACGGGAGGAAGGAAGGAAAGAAGGGAGGAAGGGAAGAAGGTGGATAGTGGAAGGAAGGGAGGATGGAAGGAAGATGGATGGTGGAAGGGAAGGAGGGAGGAAGGAAGGGAGGTAGATGGATGAAGGGAGGAAGGAAGGAAGATGGATTGTGAAAGGAGGGGGAGGGAGAAAGATGGATGGGGAAGGGAGGAGGGAGGGAGGAAGGAAGGAAGAAGGAAGGAAGGAAAGAAGAAAGATGGATGGTGGAAGGAAAGGAGGGAGGGAGGAAGATGGATGGTGGAAGGGAGGAAGGAAGAGAGGAAGGGAGGAAGAGAGGAAGGGAGGAAGATGGATGGTGGAAGGGAGGAAGGAAGAGAGGAAGGGAGGGAGGAAGAGAGGAAGGGAGGGAGGAAGAAAGATGGGTGGAAGGAAAGATGGAAGTGAGGAAGGAAGGAAGATGGATTGTGGAAGGAAGAGAGGGAGGAAGATGGATGGGGAGAGAGAGGCGGGAGGGAGGAAGGAAGAAAGAAGGAAGGAAGGAAGGAAAGAAGGAAGATGGATGGAGGAAGGAAGGGAGGGAGGAAGGATGAAGAGAGGGAGGAAGATGGATGGTGGAAGGGAGGAGGGAGGGAAGAAGGAAGGAAGATGGATGATGGAAGGAAAGAAGAAAGATGGATGGTGGAAGGAAAGGAGGGAGGTAGGAAGATGGATGGTGGAAGGGAGGAAGGGAGGAAGAGAGGATGGAAGGAAGGGAAGAAGATGGATGATGGAAGGGAGGAAGGGGGAAAGATGAATGGTGGAAGGAAAAGGAAGTGAGGGAGGGAGGAAGATGGATGGTGGAAGGGAGGAGGGAGGGAAGAAGGAAGGAAGGAAAGAAGAAAGATGGATGGTGGAAGGAAAGGAGGGAGGGAGGAAGATGGATGGTGGAAGGGAGGAGGGAGGGAAGAAGGAAGGAAGGAAAGAAGAAAGATGGATGGTGGAAGGAAGAGGTGGAGGGAGGAAGATGGATGGTGGAAGGGAGGAGGGAAGGAAGAAGGAAGGAAGAAGGAAGGAAGGAAAGAAGAAAGATGGATGGTGGAAGGAAAGGAGGGAGGGAGGAAGATGGATGGTGGAAGGGAGGAAGGGGGGAAGATGGATGGTGGAAGGGAGGAGGGAAGGAAGAAGGAAGGAAGAAGGAAGGAAGGAAAGAAGAAAGATGGATGGTGGAAGGAAAGGAGGGAGGGAGGAAGATGGATGATGGAAGGGAGGAAGGGGGGAAGATGGATGGTGGAAGGGAGGAGGGAAGGAAGAAGGAAGGAAGAAGGAAGGAAGGAAAGAAGAAAGATGGATGGTGGAAGGAAAGGAGGGAGGGAGGAAGATGGATGATGGAAGGGAGGAAGGGGGGAAGATGGATGGTGGAAGGAAAGGAGGGAGGGAGGAAGATGGATGATGGAAGGGAGGAAGGGGGGAAGATGGATGGTGGAAGGAAGGAAAGAAGGAAGAAAGTCCCAAAATAATCCCTTTTCTCTCCCCCCCCCAGCTTTATTGGTGGGGCTATGCAGATCACTGTCGTTGGTGAAATGCTTTCCTCAGTGACGATTTCAACATCCCCCAGTGGCAAATTGATGATGAAGGTGACTTTGTGTAAAGTGGTAGTGAAGAGCTGCAAAACCAACCTTCCCAGCAGGTGAGAACTTGGAAGATGTGCCGTATTTGAACAAGGGTTCCTATCAAACAAAATTAAGTCCTGTGGTGAAAAAAAAACGTTACGTTCTACATTTAGGCAAGAAAAAACCAAAGGCACAAAGATACAGGATATCTTGGGGGGGTTGTTCGGAGGCAGAGCAGGAACTAGAGAGGCCTGTTGGCCACCAGGTGGCGTCTGAGTCAGGGAGCAGTGAGGAGGAACAGAGGGAGACTGCGAGGAGGAGGGAGCAGCTTTGGAAAAAGGGTCACAGAAGGAAATAGGAAACAGGTGGCTACTGATTGGGCCCTCCCAGAGAGCTTGAGTTCAAGTCTTGTTTTCATAGAGATAATTTTTCTGGGCTCCTAGCCAAGGGGTTGTTTATCTCCCTCCTTAGTCGTGGCAGACAGCCAAGTATATATTAGAGGCTTGGGACAGAACACAGCCACACTGCAAAAAGTGATTTACGACCGTTTTTCAGACTTACGGCCATTGTGGCCCCCCTCATGGTCAGATGATCAAAATCCAGATGATTGGCAACTGACTCATATTTATGACGGTTGCGGTGATCCCCTTTTGTGACCTTCCGACAAGCAAAGTCAATGGGGAAGACAGATTCGCTTAACAACCGCAGGACTCACTTAAAGAACTGCAGGGATCCCGCCAACTGTGGCCGGAAAGGTCCAAACTCACTGAACAATGGTCTCACTTAGCCACAGAAATTTTGGACTGAACTGTGGTCGTACTTGTCCTCTATAATTTCTTGCGCCTGCTTGTCTTCTCTTTCAGCATGCTTCCCAAGATAGTGAATAAGTTTTTGGATTCTACTCTCGGGAAAGTCATGCCTGGTGTGGTAAGTCTGGGGGATTTAAGGTGGTTGAATCATGGGCCTGGAAGGATGGGGGTGGCCAGGATCTTGGAGGGGACTTCTTGGAGTCTACTTGTCCCAAAGTTTGGCCAGGAAGAACAGACTTCAGATCCCATCTAGGAATTTCAGGCGTGTATACCTAGACGAGGGATGGTGAACCTTCTTCTTATGGGGTACCAAAATTGTGTGTGTACGTGCTATTGCACGCACATGCGTGCCCACACAAATTCAATCCTCCTCGCTCCCCTGCGTATCCACATACGACCCCTTCCCAAGGCTCCGGAGGCTTTCCTGAAGCCTGGGGAGGGAGAAAATGACCTCCCCCGGGCCAGTGGTGGGTTCCGAATCCAGTTGCAACTGGTACTGAGCAACGGAGCCCAGCGTCCACCACGTGAACGTGTGCAGCACACATGCACGCGCATGCACACACGTACATATGTCCTTACCTCCTGCAATTCTCCGCGATGCCTCCTCGTCGCTCCAGCTGCTTCGGCGGAGCGTCGTGCAGGCGTCGTACGCTCTGTGCACCAGTCATAAGTGTGAAGAAGGGCCCTGAATCAACTTTTTTTTCAGTGTCCCCTGCAACTTCGGTCACTAAACCAACTGTTGTAAACGGAGGATTACCTGTAATTGACCCTAATTGGTGACCTCAAGTGGCCTTATCGACCCATAGTAGTCAAATAAATCAACACACCTCAGAGGTTACGTCCTCTCCCCGGTCCGGCTGCTGCCATCATCCTGGGCTCCAAAAATATTGGGAGACCCACAGGGGGAGGGGGGTTTCAAAAATTTTAGAACCTATTCTGTAGGTGTGGCCTGTTTTGTGGGAGTGGCTCGGTGG